AATTTTTCTGTGAAGAAGTAAGCAAGTGTAATAAATTTGATAAATAAAAAGTGAAAGGTGTTTTCAATAAAAAATGGTTGTCTAAGAAATATGCTATTTCTAAATTAACAGTAAGCTTTACTGTAGTTTATAATAAATTGATTTAATAATCATCCAATTATAAAAAAGTGTCTAATGAAAAGAGAGTGAAAGATTAAAAAAAAAGGGCTTGTTGAAAAATTAGATTTCATAATTATTTTTCACTTGGATTTGGCTTGAATACAATACATTATAGCCGCGCACACTCACTCCAAATTTTCTTTTCATTTCCCCCGAAACATTCCTCAGTGCAAATCCAAAATTCCAAACTCGGAAACCGCCATCTCTGGAAACTCAATCACTCCCTTTTCTCTCTCTTCTTTTTCTTTTCAGTGAAGCTTTTCCATCGCATTCCAGACCGAGCCCACAAATTTTGACCCTCTCTCCGATTCTGTGGAGCGTGAATGGGAGTAAGATGAACACTTCCCACTCCCACCTCTCCAACTCTTTCCTCACCTAGTGTGCCAGCCAAGAAAGATCCTTCATGGCTGCTAAGCGCGTGTACCAAGTTTGGAAAGGAAGTAATGTAAAGTTTGCTTCTTGTCCTCTTCTTCGTTGCAATTTTAGCTTTTTATGCCATCTGGGTATGCTCTGGTTCGCGGCTCTTTGATTCGCGTCGTGCTAAAGGCTTTGAATTTCTCGGGTAGTTTTGGTTGCAGGAATGTCGAGTTGGAGCTGGATTTTTTTTTTACAATTTTTTTTATTAATATCATAAATAAACACGATTAAAAAGTAAACACGATAATAATTATTAATATAGAAAATTATAAAATATTTTTTTAATTTTAAAAAGTTACAATTATATGTTATGTAGATAAAATTATTATTTATTTTTGGTTCTTTTTGTAAATAATAAATTTAATATATTGAGTTATTTTAATAAATATAAAATTAGTAAAAAATTGTGAATCTTAAAAAGTGGTTATAAATGTTTATTAATAAATGTATACTTTGTTGTAAAGCATCAGTATGGAAAACTTCTACTACATTGTGGATGATTTTGGTAGATCAGTTTTTTTTTTCCTGTTATCATTTAAGCCACAGTTTTATGGATTTTTTTAAAATCTATATAATTTACTTTATTTATAATCATTCCAGTATTTCTTAAAAAATGTTTACTTATCAAATAGAATGAAATTCATATACATGCAACAGTAGATTCAAACAGTAAATCATCAACAATTTAATAAGTACCAAAATATATGTAAACAACAACGGAATATGTTTATCATTTTTGTATTATTTTGTCTATTTAACTTTCTACTTTATTTGTTGGTAATCTAACATTTGATAGAAATGTTGGGAGTCTAACATTTAATAAAAATGAGAAACTAGAGCAATATACAAAGATAAAAGACCATTTAATCCATTACCTTAAGATTTTAGATAAAGAGTGATATTGATTCTTTATATAGTTGTGTTAGATATTATTGGTGTTTGTGTAACCCACAGAAAACTCCTTCCTATAATTCAACAGTGATATCAGAATAGTGTCGATCTCTTATATAGTTAACTCAGATGTTACTGATATTTATGTAACCCACAAGGAACATCCTCTTTGACATACCACCACATATAATCATACATAATAATAACAATAAGAGGAAGGAAGCTGAGAATTAATTTTATACTAATACATTATGTATATTACATATAAAACCCCACCTTAAAACTTGACAGAATCTTAGTAAACAAATTAACTAAGAATAGGTTTATATTATAAATTTGTTTTAGTTATAGTTTTTATTCAGTTTAGTTGATGGAAAAGATGTAGATGTTGGGAAGAAGAAAGACAGATATGAAGGTGAAAGAGGTGGTGTGTATGGTTAAAAAGCTGACTTTGCAAGGAGAATGAATAAAGCTTTAGTGAACAAGTTGGGCATGGAATATTTATGATTATTATTGTTAGTTGGAAAAGCAACATTTTTTTATATGGGAGAAGGTTAAAGCGTCATAGCCAGGTTGGAACTTCTCTTTTCTCTATTTCCTTCCAATCTTCTTTTTATTCTTTTTAAACACCTAAGATTTCTTCCCTGCAAAAGATCAATTCTTATACAAATAAAGTACACTCTCTCTCGTTTAATTACTTTTTTTTTTCAAAACTTAATTTTATAAAATCATAATTTTAACCAATTATCTTCATTCACTTCCATTTTTTTATTCAGAACTATTGAATTTGTTTTATCATATTTGTACACCTGTTTAATTAAAAATCACTTTCATAATTTTTAATTATTCTCTTCTTTTGTACCAGTTCCGACAAAAATATAGAAATTATTTTCGCCCCTTGGCACACTACAAAATGAATTTTGAATTACAATTTATCATATAATTAAAAATATTATCACAACTTACATAATCTTTTATGAATACTCATATTTAAAAATAATAAGAATATATTATTATATTTTAATGAATAAGTGAACAATTTTTAGGGATCGAGAGATCTTCTTAGAGACAAACCAAACTCTATTACTAAATTTGACTAGCTACTTGGTTAAGTGACTATGAATTTATACATAACAGTGATGATGTAACCGAGGTAATAATTTCTTAATTACTGGCTTATAGTTTAGTGTTCAACACTAAGATGATCAGAAAAATTTTACTGTACAAAATTATTTTTAATTTTTTCTTATTTACAGAAATATTTAAACGAGTTTTATTACCTATTAGTCTCATGATTTTCAACTATAAGGATATTTTGCATTCATAAATATACGACAACAAAATAATATTTAAATAAATAAGAATTTAGCATGATTCAACTGACTAGTATTATTTATAAATAAGGAAACTCATTGCTTAAAATAAACATAGCGAGTAAGAGGTTATCATAACAAAATTATCCTCATAATAAAAATATTTATATTAGTTTTGATTAATTTTTAGACAAAAATAAACATTTTAATAGCGATTAAAATTACTTAAAAATAACAATTTCATTTAAGTGAAAGAAGGTGAGTATTACCACAAAACGAGGACAGTCAGTGGATTTTACTTGATTTTAACCCATTAAAATAAGTTATAATTTTTAAAATAAATTAAAGTTGAAAATTATCGAAAGGGGTTCATGAAATTATATTCTGACACAGAAGATGACAAAATTTCACTGAATAATATTTTGGTTAAATGCAACATTTTGTCTTTTGGTTTTGTCAGGAGTGCCCTTGGGTAACCTAACTCCTTGAAAAAGAAAGGAGTGGTGTGGAGTATATCAATCTCAATCAGAAGCGTTGGATCATGCCACTGAATCCAGGACCCACCACATGCTGACGTGTCCAGAGTAAATTTGGCAAGTGAATATCTAAAAATGAGTTCGCAGTCACACCCACAGAGAATGAGGTGAGAAGATGAAATCAAACCAAAATAAAAACAAGACAAATTTTTTATTTTTATTTTTGGTATTTTTATTTTTCAAATTACTATATTTTTTACACTATTAATAAAACTCAATAAGTATTAGATCTCACTAGAGAATTCTTAAAAATATTTCTTTTATCTTATTTTCTTTAATTAATTAAATTATTAATTGTATGACAATATATTGAAGCTAACCTTAGTAATATATGTATGTTTAATGATTATCTTTCTTAATTTTATATTTTTAGTGAATTTTTTTTTACCAATAAAAGGGTGTTGGTCAAGATTTAGCATATTTGATTGAATATGATATGTGATTCATTTGTAAAACTTAGCACGAATTTGTTCCAGTGAAAAAGAAATGTAAGAAAATGTTTTTTTTATTATTTTAAAATACATTTGAGATTTAATTTTTCTGTGAAGAAGTAAGCAAGTGTAATAAATTTGATAAATAAAAAGTGAAAGGTGTTTTCAATAAAAAATGGTTGTCTAAGAAATATGCTATTTCTAAATTAACAGTAAGCTTTACTGTAGTTTATAATAAATTGATTTAATAATCATCCAATTATAAAAAAGTGTCTAATGAAAAGAGAGTGAAAGATTAAAAAAAAAGGGCTTGTTGAAAAATTAGATTTCATAATTATTTTTCACTTGGATTTGGCTTGAATACAATACATTATAGCCGCGCACACTCACTCCAAATTTTCTTTTCATTTCCCCCGAAACATTCCTCAGTGCAAATCCAAAATTCCAAACTCGGAAACCGCCATCTCTGGAAACTCAATCACTCCCTTTTCTCTCTCTTCTTTTTCTTTTCAGTGAAGCTTTTCCATCGCATTCCAGACCGAGCCCACAAATTTTGACCCTCTCTCCGATTCTGTGGAGCGTGAATGGGAGTAAGATGAACACTTCCCACTCCCACCTCTCCAACTCTTTCCTCACCTAGTGTGCCAGCCAAGAAAGATCCTTCATGGCTGCTAAGCGCGTGTACCAAGTTTGGAAAGGAAGTAATGTAAAGTTTGCTTCTTGTCCTCTTCTTCGTTGCAATTTTAGCTTTTTATGCCATCTGGGTATGCTCTGGTTCGCGGCTCTTTGATTCGCGTCGTGCTAAAGGCTTTGAATTTCTCGGGTAGTTTTGGTTGCAGGAATGTCGAGTTGGAGCTGGATTTTTTTTTGTTTTTTTTACTTGGAGCATGTTTTTATTTTGAAAATTAAAAGTTGGGCGTGTGTTGAAAGTTGAGCTAGTACTGGGGTCGGTTACTGGGGTGGGTTATGTGTTATTTTCTGGGGGGACTGTACAACTTTGAATGCTGAGCTGTGTGTGCGTGATTACAGTTAGTTTTCAACTCAATTGTTTGATTTATGATTATTTAAGGGCAAAGGTATCTGCTGCAATACTTTTAATATTGCGTTTTATTAATTATTTGTAAGTGTTAGGCTCAATTAGCCTGCTTTGACTTTTGGTGAAATAATTTATGAAGTGCAGAATTTGGCCTTCATCCCCTCAAAAGTTTTGCTATTTTCGGGTGAAAATAAAGGTAGAATTAAACACAATAGTGAGTTTGGGCTTTTGATCCCCTTCCAATGTGTATCTTTGAATGATACTATGATAGTTTTGCTTAAAAAAAAATAATGAAGTAATTTAAGACCTTGGATTGAAATCATTGAATAGCACCTTTTCTTCTCTTATTTATGTTTTCTAGGTTTGTCTAAGAAGGATGAAATTTATTTCAAATAATTTTTTGTGATTCTGTCCTCTGAATAGAGTTGTCACGAAAGATTTTTTAATCCTCTCGGGAAAGTGACTCCTGGCGAAAGATAAATTGTAAAGTTGATGTATAGATTATTGATCGGGTTAAATTAGAATGTGGGATGGACCACTTGAGCAGCACAGACAGATGTCTACTATTCCCATGTTTGGTGTGATATGAGTGGTTTGGGGTAGAACAAGTTCTGGAAGGATGAGAAATATTATGTGGTTATCACCAGCTTATGGCCATTCTTCCAAGGTCAAAGTAATTACTTTTGAAGATAAGATGAAATTGATGTCCCCATTTCTTGCTCTCGCATGAAGTAGTTGTCTGTACAGCTATTGGCTGTTACATTAATTTTTTTTGATAATGGATGATGGCTGGTAATATTGATGGTATTGTAAAGTGTAAGATTGATGTTACATAAGCAAAGGACGATTATGTTTCATCATGTTTTTGGTGCTTATTTGTTTTACGTAAAAGGTGTAAAATAGGATGAGAAACAAGAGAGATAAATGACCTTCAAAGTTTGCATAATATTTGTTATGAGATGATCATGGACACATTCATCAAATGGTAGCTGGACTATTGAAGTTCATAAAGAAATAGAGGCGTGTAGCCATAAATATGCCAAAATAATCTGATAATACTATAGATGGCCAATTCTGTGGTACACCTGCCGAATGGTCTCTGGCTTTTCTCTTTATATGCCCTGAAGATTTTGAAAGGCACAAAGAGTGTGAAATTTTATGGCATTCTGTTTATTTGTTTGCCACGAAATGCCATCTAGATCATCTCTTTTCCTTTTACAGTTGTAGGATAGGATTGTGCCTGTGATGGTGCTTGGTTAATGGCTGGTTCAAGGGATCGATCATTTGTTTACTAAAGTGTTGGAACACATTGCATTTTTGGGTCAGTTTGCCTCGTTGGGATCTTTATGTTTTTGATAGGATAGGAGGATTCATTATTCTCCTGTCTAATGTATGGTATTGACCTCTTGAAATGATGTATCATTCTGCTATTATGGGATTCATTTGTCTATCAAAATTTTTAGTTTTTTCACGAACTATTTTTCTGCAATTTTTTAACTTTTACTGCACTTTGTAGTTAATACTTTTCTCATGATCTTCTGCAGAAATTCATATGCGGGGGGAGGTTGGTATTTGGGCCAGACGCTAGGTCCCTGTTTGTCACCTTGTTGCTGATTATTGTTCCAGTTATAATCTTTTGTGTATGTGTAGCAAGGCATCTCAGGCATGAATTTTCTCCATATAATTCTGGATATGCTATTTTAGCAGTGGCTATTCTTTTTACTATTCATGTAAGTTCAGCTAATTTTTTATTTTATTGTTCGTTTTTTATTTTTATTTTTATTTTTTTTATCTTTTTGTATACATAGTTTTAGCTTGGTCTATTTTAAGTTCCGAAGTCCAAATTTAGTGCAAGCTACCACAACGAAAAACATACTTTTGACTGTTCACCACGTATGCTGTCCATCTTCCTGTATACCTCTTATGAGCCAGTACTGAGAACTGCAGAAGTGTGCTTCTTTAAACTAAATCACTGACATAAACTCAACTCATCATGTATCCATGTTTTTTTTCCCTAATAGTTTTTAATTTGCTAGGTAAAAGTTCAAAGCTGTTTGGTTTAATGGTGATAGCATTTCACTATTAAGAAATTGATTTTCTCTACTGATTCCATATAGCGTGTCACTATATAATCTCACAGCCTATGTTTTTAGGTTCTGGCGGTTCTCTTTCTTACTTCCTCTGGTGATCCGGGCATTGTTCCAAGGAATTCTCATCCACCGGAAGAAGAGTTTCGTTATGATTCTTCTGTCTCTGCTGATGTTGGGGGAGCTGGACGGCAAACACCAAGTCTCCAGTTCTCTCGAACCAAAGAAGTTGTAGTCAACGGCATTGCTGTAAGGGTGAAATATTGTGAGACTTGTATGCTGTATCGTCCTCCTCGTTGCTCACACTGCTCCATTTGCAATAACTGTGTTGAGCGTTTTGATCACCATTGCCCCTGGGTGGGCCAGTGCATTGGTCTGGTATGAAAGTTGACAGCATGACCTCTTGATTTTATGATACCATTTTTCTTATTTATCGGAGGGTGCTATTTACTTGTTTTCTTTGTTCTGATGTATTTGTTGGCCTTTTCTCCAATGTGCAGAGGAACTATCGTTACTTCTTTATGTTTGTTTCTTCAGCAACTATTCTGTGCATCTATGTGTTTTCCCTCTCAGCTCTTTACATCAAGGTTCTGATGGATAATTATGACGGCACAGTTTGGAAGGCAATGAAAGAATCCCCTGCATCTGTGATACTAATGGCTTATTGTTTCATCTCTCTGTGGTTTGTTGGTGGATTAACTGGTTTTCATTTATATCTCATAGGCACAAATCAGGTCAGTCAATTTTTTTTGACATTTGTGGTTAACATTCTCATGGATTAGTGTACCTTTAGATTAGTTTGTTAACTCTGAATAAAGAAAGTTAAAAGGGATGATCTTGATGGTACTAATTCCACCCCACTTTATCAAAAATCTTCTATTGTTATTTCCGGAGTGTTCTTGTGTTACACGATTATCTTTACCAACTGGGTCAGTGTCTCTTGTGTTGCAGACTACCTATGAAAACTTCCGGTACAGAGCTGACAGCAGGATCAATGTTTTTAACCGGGGTTGTTTGAATAATTTTCTGGAAATGTTTTGCACTAAAGTAAAGCCCTCAAGGAACAATTTCAGGGCATTTGCCAGAGAGGAGGTACCGAGGCCACTGGCTCCGATCATTGCACGGCCTCGTGACCCAGATGACGGCTTGGGTGGAGATCGGCGCCCAAAGGTTGAAGATGATCTTGACATTGGTGAAGACCTATTGAAGATATCACAGCGCAGGAACATTGAAGAACTTGACGAGGAGATTCGAGGCAGAGGGAGCAATGGAGCACCCCACCATACATCTGAACCTGACTCAATTTTGTCCTCAGATCATCGAGCTCCCACCATTCGATCAGATGCTAGGCACTCAAGTTGGGACAGGAGTGGAAACTGGGAAATTGCCCAAGAGGTTCTTGCCAGTTCAAATGTCACAGAAAGCAGAAACTATTCAAAGGAAATGCGCCAGTGAGGAGTTGTGGTTTGTCTCTTGCAATATTTTTAATGGCATCAATCAACCATATATGATGTGGGGTTCCTTGGATACTAAAGATGGAAAAGAAAGATTGGAACTTGGTATAAAAACTTAGCCTACCTTTTTTGTGGTAACCCTAGTTCATTGGGAAAGCATATAAATGCGTGCATGTAATTTGTTTGAGACCCACTGTCCTTTTTTTATCCCTTTCTTTTTTCCTTATTTTTAACAGTCCAATATATGGATCTCATCTTTCCCTGGTTTTATTCTTTGTGTAAATAACCAGTTATGATACTGAAAAAGCTTCTCTACATATACTGCATTTTAGGTACGGTAAAACTGGGCCCTTTGATGTTGTAAGTGCTTTTACCTTGCCATTGACGTGATTGTGAGTGATTTTTTATTGTTCAACGTGTCTTAACATTCCGCCTTAGAATCTTTATTGCGCATGTGGTTTTTTCTTAGTATCATGATATTTTAACAACAGAGACTATGTATCATTATTTTACTTTATAGGTTTGTATATTTGAAATCGTTGAATCAGAAAGCTACCAATATTGTTGTAAAAAGTTGTTAAAGAGAATTTTTCCTTTTTCATATTGGTGCATTGCATTTTCAATCTTAATAAATTACGTTCATCAGGACTTGACTTGGGACCTGCTATAGATTTCGAGAGTTAGGTCCGAGGATTCTCCAGCCTCTGTACTTGGGCTCGCATTTTTTCTTTCGGCTGTTGTTTCCTGCACCTTATCATTTCCTTTCTTCACTATTAATTAATTTCATTTCCACTTTTGTCCTTATTTGAAAGTTACTTCTGGAAAGTTAATCCGGAAATAAAAAATATATTTCAGAAATTTGTTTTCAGAAAAGAAAAAGGGTGTTGCTCCCTCCACCACCACAGCCTTCTCCCTCCACCTTCCCTTTACTATTTTGCCCCTCAGTAAAATTTTATTTTTAGAATTATTGTTTTTTAATTTTACTCATTTATAACATATTTCACTGATAACCTACGTAGTTCCTTGTATGAGTAAAATATTTTTCTACAAAGCTCAGTGATCGTGAAAAGAATTATCAAGCAATCTTCGTCTGACTTTCGGTGCAGTACGTGGTGCAGTGCGTTTGTGGTGTAATGTGCTTGTCGTGGTTCCTCTCCAGGTACGTAGTCATAATCCTTCCAATAATCCTAAACCCTAAACCCTAAACCCTTCCAATAATCCTTCCAATAATCCTTTAACCCTAAAACGTAAAATGAAAACAAAGCCTAAACGGATGACATCCTTCAACGGATGTCAACATCTGTTTAAGACAAAACGGATGTCGACATCCGTTTCGCCTTAAACGGATGTTGACATCCGTTGGAGGATGTCATCCGTTTAAGCTTTGTTTTAATTTTATGTTTCTGTTATTATTTTATTAGATATTTTAATATTTTGATTTATTATTTTTGAGTATTAAATATTTTAATAATGTATATTTATATTAGTTTATATTTAAATATTAAAATATTAAAATAATAAAATAATAAAAATAAAAAATTTTAACTTTAAGGATATAATTGGAATTAAAGATAATTGGAGAGGTGGAGGGAGAAGGCTGTGGAGGTGGAGGGAGCAACACCCAAAGAAAAATATGTTTCTAGATTTTTTTTTCGATTTTCGTTTCCGGGACTGACTTTCGGAACTCACCTAAAACTGTCGTCACCTTATATATACAAAGAGAAAATATATAACAGAAAATAATAAAAAAAAACTGTTTGATGAACAAAATTTTACCATAGTCACTTTATTAGTTAGTGAATTTAATAACTAGTTTGTAAAGTTGAATTAAAAGTTCAACCAAAAACTAAGCATTATATCTTTTATAGTACGAATTTGTTATATGACTTTTTTTAGCTTAATTAAGCACGGTAACGAGTGGTTGTAGGTTCCTAAAAACAGGTAGCGTTAACCTAAATTAGAATTAAAGACAATATAAATATTCCAATTGATGTTGAACAAAGTACTCACTCCCCCACACCAAACCCTAAGGGACCAATAAATAAAGCAACCCCATCACAAAATGAGTTCCTCAACACGTTGCTTTGTTGTGGCCTTGTGTCTGGTGATGATTTCCTATTCTCCCATGGCAGCAAAGGGTGAACAAGGGTTGGCCGAACAGATCTGCATGGAAAGCTTCGAAGACAAGGAGGGGTGTTTGGCGCTGCTAAAGCAAGCCGATCCTAAGATCGTGAGTGCAAAAAGCTTCCAAGATCTGGCACAGGCAACCCTAGAGTGGGCTGTGAGCAAGGGATCAGAGGGTCAAGCCTTTCTGAAGGAGTTGGCTCAGGTGGACAATAGTCCAGCCATAGTGCAATGTGCGAATTTCGATTACGATGGGGTGGTTGAATCTTTCAAGAGCGCCTTAGGAGAGTTGAAAGATGATCCTGAAACCGCTAGCTATGATGCGAAAGTTGCTGGTGACGGACCTGATTGTTGTGACAGAGGTTTGGCTTCAGCAAATATTAGCAACCCTGCCATTGCCGCTCTTAACCGCCAAATACTCCTCCTCAGCAGCTTGGCCTTCAATGCCGTCAGTAAATGCGGTGATTAAGTGAATTCGCCACCATGCTCAACCCAAAGTGTGGGCTGTTGCTATATTTTTTTTTTGGTGTGGGGGAGTGTAAGTCATTAATGAAATTAAACCTGTTGCTTCTACTCAATCTTTGCTTTATATTTACAGACATACGGCTAAACTAAATTTAAATACAAAGCAACATAATTAAGAAAATAACATTTTTAGAAGGATTAGAAATAATTGTTTATCAGAAAATAAACCCGCAATTTGACACGATAACAAGCAAAAACAAAACTAAAGATTTTTTTTAATAATATATGAAGAGAAAGTGAGTAAAAACAAAATTCCTTGACTTAATAAAATAAAGTCTTCTTTTTATCAGGGAAGTATATTTATATGAGAGCACTTGGGCACAAACTATATATTTAATCGTATCTTGATGATAACATTGGTTTAAGAAATAATGACGAGTAGCATTGTTTATACCAAATATTATATATCAAAAGATAAACATTTTCTTAATATTGAATAAAATATTACGTTATCAAATCATTTTTTTATAATAATTAATACAATTAAAATATTGTATTATGAAATATTAAATATTAAAAAGAAAGGATTTTTTTCTTCAATGTTAGATATTAATAAATAACTTTTAATTATATAAATATTTATAAGAATATGAAATAACAATTGAATGAAAGTAAAATAATTATATAAAAGAATGAAAAGTTATCAAATGTGTGTGTCTAAAAAAATTACAATATTAAATACTAAAAGATAATTCATATAAATTTTTTATATTATCTAATAAAAGTGTTTTAATAGTTTAATTTAAAATAAAGACATGTACGAAATATACTATTCAATATGGACCTTTTTCATCAAAATTGAAACGAATTGGAATAATACATACGAAACT